TTCTTCGGCTTGCTCATGATCCTCTGGCCATGTGGAGGCAGCGCGGGTGCTCCGAGGTGTTTGGAAGCCCCGGTTCGTCGCTCAACCCCTGAGGGGAGTGACGGAGCACTCCAGCGACTTACAATCCTCCACGGCTAGGGCTTGCCTCGAAGAGGCTTGTGCCCTGTCTTCCTGTTGCCTGGCCAAGGTCCTCACTGAGTGTCTTCAGATTCACTCAGTGGCCAGGGCAGCGTGCCACCCCAGGGGGGCTAGTGGCAGTCCCGATTCTGCAGGAGGAGGCTGTGCGCGGTGCAGGGAGGCAAGACTCGATGGGTCCAAATGAATTTTCTTTAAATCCTAGTAAATTGCTGGAGATCCAGAATGAGCAACCCCTCACAATCGGTTTGAGTCAGAAAAACTGGGGAATACCTCGTGCCAGGGGGCGTTGCCCAAAGAGCTTATCTGACTCAATCCAATCACGAGAGGATAAGGTCAACCCATTCTGGATACTCCTCCCCCTCACTATGGCAAAAAAGCAGGGAGATGAGGATTGTAAAGAATTATTAGCAAAAATGAAACACTGCCATCCGTTTTGAAATACTTGTTTAAAAACTTAAACTATGTAAATTTGTATTTTGATTTATAAATACTGAGTTGATAAACTATGGTATGTGCAATCAGTAGTACAAGGACTTTTATCATTCAGCTGTCTTTAAGTATTTCACTAGCAAGAGAAAATTTGTGACAAATCCCAGCATGGTCTAATGTTCCAAATTATGTTAATAATTTTATGCAAATGAAATATGGCCTCCAGCTCATTACAAGATATCAAGATGTCTTCCACATAGCAAATTACATGTTGTATTCATTGGTCAAATTCAGAATTCTGCAAGTATTACAACAATATTGGTTTTTTTTAAATCAAATATAAACAGCTTATAAATATTTTTATAATTTATCATTTTCATTTTTATATTTATCCCTAATATTAAAACATAAACAACACATTTCATTATATTGGATTAGAAACACTAATTATATGGCAGCTTCCCACGAAACGGATTCCAACAATAAAATTGTGATCACAAGTCCTGGAATTTATCAAATATTCTTTTTTTAGGAAAAAGTTCTTCTCTAATAATACAGAATAAAAAGATTGCTCTAGGTAAGAAAACAAGATAAATAAGATAAATGTAGCTCCCTTATACCACACATTGACTTAATTGGCATCCTCTGTTTGAATAGCGCTATTTTCTACTATGGGACTACAGTTTTCCAGTCTTCTAATAATAACAGTATTTAAAAAAATCAATTTGGGGATCTTCCAACCAGATCAAACCATGAAGAGCTAAGAGAGTGAGGGGAAAATGGGCCATGCCACTCCCATTACTCCCACATCCATCCAAGACCATTCTCTGCATTCTTACTATAGAGGATGAGAGCCACTACTTCAGACAAATGAACCAAACAAAGCAAACTAGGGATACTCAGTCCCTAGCATTTAAGTAACCGCACATATTGTTCAGATAGCTCTTTCAGAAATCTTCAGGATTAGACAGATAGGCAGACTATCTTAAAGCATCACCCAATATACTTTTCTTGGAAAACAAATATTTTTAAAATGTTAAATGAAAAATGAAATGAAGGAAGAATTTGTTTTAACAGAATAATTTGCATGACACAAAATAATGATCTTAACTTATAGGAAGAAAAAATTACTTGAATGCTGTGGAGATGCAGGGATCCTAACTGTAAGAGCAATGTTAAGAGTAGAAAAATTACCACAGGAAATTATGAGCTTTGCTTTACTTGCTCAAAAAAGCTAGTCAACCATTTGTGTGGGCAACTGATTTAACATGGATTCCTGCACTGAGAACTTGATAGTCCTTCAAGCTCTATAACTCTGTGATTCTATAGCTCCATGTTCAAAAGTGTATTTGATAAAGATATTGGGACCCTTAAAGGCTTAGTGGGAACTTGTGTTATATATTTTGTTTATTAGATCATTTATATACACATTCATCTCACCAACAAGTGACTCTGTGCAGCATTCAAGAAAGCTAAGCAGTCAGTAAATACCTAAAAACCATTACCATTATTAATTATTCAAAGAACATTAAAACATCAGTGAAAAAACTATAAAAACAGAACAAGAACAGAGAAATCACAGATGAAGAGATGTTAATAATAACAAAGTTACCTCACTAGTTGGCCTGTTCCCTATGCACCCCAAACCTGCTGGCATAATCAGGTCTTAAGAGACTTTCAGAACTTCAGAAGACAGGAAGCCGATCTCATCTCAGGAGGAAGATTATTCCACAGTGCAGCACCCAGTAGAAAAGGCCTGCCACCCAAAGCCTGCCTGAGGGGGCTCCCTAGCCAAAGGAATCCGTAACATCCACACCTTCTCTGCTAGTAGTGGTGGGGCAGGCAGATTAAATCAGGGAGATGCAGTCCCTCGGGTAACCCAGTCCTATGCCCATTTATTTGGCAAATAAAACTGCTTGAATCTTGGTGTGCTACAGTTTTTGACAGAGTAAAGGCAAGACATCATTTGATTCTATAACTATGATGGATGTTTTTATCTTAGCAATCCAAAACGGAGAAATGTGCTTGAGGACTGAAGTTATATTACAATCTTTATCCTTCGAGGTTTTCAGCATCTGCATGTTAAGATATACAATTTGAATTTTAGAAATGGTAAATGCTTATTTGAGAGAAATAATAGTAGTTATATATGTTAATGAAGAGACAGGCTTTAAAAACGACGAGCTTAGGTTCAACAATCTGTGACAACTACTGCACTGTACCCTGAAGCTTTTTAAGCAGCTTACCTTAAAAACCTCTAAGCCAAGCATTTTCAGTTCTTATGGCAGGTTCCAGAGTAAACGGAATCCATTAATTTAGGAAAAGGAAATTCAACTTTTTAACAGCAAGTCATGTTAATTTTGTTCATTCTTATGTCAATGTAATCCTAGATGGCACTAGAAGGTCAAAGAAAAGCAGTTCTTGGCAGAATATGAAAGGAAGCATGATTAACTCCTCGAGACCGATTAGATCTCATAGATTAGGCCTCCTCNCAATGAGGAAAGGTTCTAAGAAACCTAAGGGAAAGGGAGAAAAGGTCTTAAAAGAGGGGGGAAAGGCAAGAAAAGTAAAGTAAAATATCACACTATTCAGGGAGAGATCAAGAGCACATCTGGTTCAAGTGGTGGTGAATCACAAAAGCTGGGGAAGCTCAGCAGGAAGAGGCGGGACTTAAACTTTGCAGACTCAGTTCTATTGGATGTACGTGAGAATAACCCACACAGGGATGCTGTCTCCAATGAGTCAGGAAAATGTAAATCCTTCCATTCCCCATTATCCTGTCAGATCTAAAGAAGCTTCTTGGATGAGAAGGGAAACATCTTCAGAAGAAAAAACAAGGAAGTTGCCTCCTGAAAAAGCAGCTTTGGTTCAGCAGTGCTGATGACTGCATTCAAACACTCAAGCCTTAAACAAAACGAGAGAAAAACCACCTAATGAACTTTAGGAGCAGTACTTCAAAAAATACTGCAGCGCAGGATGATCATGTCCTACTTTGTGACACAAAGCAATTTGATGTTTTGTCAATTCTGGCACAAAAACCAAACAAACAGAAAAGACACTAGTTTTCTACTCCACCGTCTGGCGATCATTGCATACCATCATTGAAACGCTGACCTACAACCGATTTGTCAACGTGGTCACGCTGAGAAAACGACCTTCACATTTCTCAATTTCATCACATTGATAGAACAAGCTACAGGCTTTATACCAGGTAAAGCCTTTATATCAGAAAACAAACAGAAGAGTTTGTCAAATGAAGGCAGCAGCAAGAATTTCAAACATTGTCTCTGCATTTAAGGCACTCAATGAGCAGTTTTAAATAACTCCTTCTTACAACATGATCAAATAAGCCACCTGACAACTGGTCCCATTCCAGATGGATTCTAAGTTAAGTTAAACTTCAGTTCTTACCATCTACACATGCTGGTCTCGCCCTTGTAGTTCCGGCAATCTGTCCTTTTTTACATGCACAACGAGCTGTTTGTCGAGCTATTGTTCTTCGAGGCTGACTGCTATCTCTGTCCAAAGTAACAATTTCACATGTACCTGCAGCCAACTGACCTGGAAAAAAAAATCAGCAACAGGTATCATAGTCAATAACTATTGTAATCCAAAAGAGTTACGACCCAGTGTTGCAACAGACACTTCTCAATACATGGAAATTCAGAGAAATATAGATTGGTATTAGTAATAAAAAAAGCCATTTTCTTCTCATGTCTCATCTTGAAAGAAACTGGTTAAAAAACATGCTAGTTCTATAAATTATTTCAAATTAACAGCTACGGTATTATGATAGTCACTTAGAGAATTAGGGAGAAGCAGATTGTAAAACTGAACATTCTCAGTCACCAAAGTTTGATGAGTTTCTATGCCAAACCTACTCCAAAGTATGAAAAAAGGAGGAATTTAAGACTTTTGAAGAAATTTGGAATATAAATTACACCAAAAATAATTTTAATAGTAATAGTTTGAAAGAGGAACTTTATCAGTGATTGACACATTTCTAGAAAAAAGAACTAATGGGCAATCATTTTTTTTTTAATTTTAACTTCCCAAGTATTTAACTTGAAATCATCATTTTTCAGAAAATAATGTAAGACAATGTTGAAAATGAGAAAAAAAAGTGC